TCAATTATCGGTGCTAATCAAATTCATTTAAATTAAATTGGAGGGCTGTGATGGACTTTCGACCTGTTCACGGGTGTTTCTTACTTTCTTCCCAGTGTCAGCTCCAGCCTCCAACAGTTCCACAAATAAGGTTAAGGCTGATGCAGGAATGCAAAGACGTAGTTCATCAGACATTGTTTAATTACTGTCACTTTTTTGTAATAGAAAGCACTACAAAAAATATTTATGTTTGCATGTCAAGTTTTGCAGGCATTGTTGCAAAGTAAATCCTGTGGAGACAAAAGCAGTGGAAATAATTTCCTTTTGAAATACACTCAAGTTGAAATTATGATTAGAGGTTATTTCAGTCACACTGTGGCATACTTAAACACTTTTTTAAACCAGGCAAATGACCATTAACTGTCAAATCCTAAATAGTGCTGATGGAAGTATCCAGGGGTGTATCACAAAGTCAATTTCATGTAGTTATAGTTTTGTACTCAGGGACAATACCTGTCACAAATATGAACCACATCATCACAGCTTAAGTGATAGAATAGCCATAAAAAGCCAAAACACATAAAACTGGATCCAGCTGGTCCTACATATTGAGTCTTTTTGTTAAAGACTCCAGATTGTTGTAGATTCCTTCCAGTCAGTAAAGAATAACGTTTGGCAATCATCACGCTCTGACAACGTCTTCCTCTGATACTGTAAATCCATTCACAAAAATGAAAAATGTCCTGTTTCACACACTGTCTTGTACTTACAAGTTAGTGAATAAATTTGCATGACTCATTTAAATGATTCCCGGTTTTTTTTGCACTCTGAAAGGGGTCTGCAAAGGGTAAACTAAATAGGTGTGCCTTTAACATCCCATTGCACACTATCAACAATCATATTTCAGGGCTTGTGCTAAACATAAATCCTTCCATATACCTACAGCTTTACACGCAAATGAACAAATACCTTGCATGACACCATGACTTACTGAATCTATAAAATGCTTTTTGGTTGGAGTTACTCACTTACAAGTCTGTGTTTTACTTTTCTTTGTGACATTTACTCATGGAAAATCCTGATAATGATTATACAACTGAAATAGTGCTACATTAATCTGCTTAAAAAAATGATCACAACAATGTAGAAACAAAAAATAGCACTCATACCAGAAAGGCTTATTCATGCATGCAGTTAATTTTTCCTGTCAACCTTTTTCCTTGTTTATGTGCTTTGCAGCTTTTTTAAAATAAACTTTTACATTTGGTTAATTCCTTATTCAGAAACCTGAGGATTGATTTATGTTATCTTCTGTATTCATTAAAGCAGAATGCACCTCTTGGACAAGGTCTATATGAATGTCCCTTCAGCACTGCCTGGTTAAACTCAGACACAGAGAAGACAATGAAGCATTGTGTAATGAAGAAATCAAATGAAAGTTTGAAGAATATGTCTTTTGTTTGAATTGAATTTGTATGTTGTTGTTTTTTATGAATACAGATGCAAACCGGACTTTGATAGTCTCTTTTGGTCTATAGGCATTTTTTATTAATGGAAAAATACAACAAGTAGGGCCACTGTCAATAAAAGCAGATAACTGGCTTTAGTGGGGATTAGTGCCAATAAAAAGTTCTTCACATTGCTTTGATGTTTGAACAAAGGTAATAAAGAAACGCATCAGACATAATAATTAAAAGGGATATGCACCCAGCTGTTACTTCTTATAAGATTCATTTCGTATTTGTCCGTGTAAATCATAGAAAGAAAGAAAAAAGAATGACAGAAAAAAAGGAGCAGCAAACATTGAATTACTGTCTAAATGTGTTTTGGAATAAATTATACTATTGAGTCTCATGTTTTTCATAATTATCTCAATGAGTCATACAAACTAGCCCTTTTCCCTGTACACTGCTCTCATTGTCTGAATTTCGGAAAGAATTTTAGATGAAAATTGTGGCATTTTGTGAGTATGATAAAAGATTTTTCTGTTGTGGCCAATTCTTCAACTTTATCTACGACTTTCACAAAAATAGCAAAAATCTTACAGCTGAAGAGTGAGATGTGGTTAAAACACACTAATCCAGATAAATCCTTTATGTCTAGTTAAACTAGTTTTATGCACTGTACTAATGATCACAATACTGCTATATATTACTCTAAAATGCGCAACTGCTCGGGATGGTTAATGAGATCAGTCATTCGATCTAGACGTTTGTGCACATTTCTTTGATCATATCACAAGTTACGGTTTTGATCACGCCAATGCCATGTGACTTCCCTTATCCTGCAAAAGACATTAATCACACACTCACGCGCAGGCACTCATGCAATCATATATTCAACTGTCCGTGCTCATCTAATCCTCTGATTTCAGTCCCCTCTGCAGTCTGAGCTCCCCTGTTTTCATTGTCGGGCTGTGACTCATCGAGTGTCTGAGCCAAGCTATTTGCGCTGGTTCACACTGGTCGACACACCTAGGGCCAGGAAACACACCCATTCCCACATATCCTTGTATTCAACCCAAGCGATCTGCCACAGAGCAGTGACAGGCAAGGGAGATTCTTTTCGTAAAGCGCATCCAAAATATTCCGCACATTTCCCTTGAGTTTTATTTCTTCACTTACGAAAAAATCCAGTCGTAAATTCCGACTCCCCTGTTTGTCTTCAGCTGTCTTCTAACCTAATTGTAAACTGCTGTAGGCTTAATTCTTATTAGAAGTCACCTCGTCAGTGCGAGAACAGGTTCTCAAAAAGGCAAACAAAACAAAACAACTAGATTAAATAAGAAGCTTAATGACGCTCAACATGAGCGGAGAAGAATTGTTTGATTGTTACGGGAACATTCAATGCCCGCTGAAAAGTCGTTGAGCTGGCACACAGCTTTGCACAGAGCCCTGCTGTTTACATGCGGGCGTTTCTGTCTGGAGACGGCATTTGTTGTAATGTGAAACTTAGAGGCATCAAGGGCCTCGCCTCTGAAGTTAGGAGGCCAACGTGCACAGAATAGGAGCAGACAGGTGCAGAAGCAATGCCCGTTGGAGATTATGTTTAAATTCAGCCGAGAAACACCATTAGACGTGATCTCTGCCCGTTATTAAGTTATATGATATGTATAATCTGTTTGGTCCCGCTCATTGATTTCAAAACAATAACGTGTTTTAGGTAATATCTTCTGCTCTTTATCTTTGTTTACCGAAATCCCGGGTATTGTCCAAAGGAGATCCCAGAGTTCTTCAAGACCTACGCTTATATTCCACAAATGGTTGGAATGACTCTGGCTTTTATCTCGGTGTGTGCACAGTTAACAGCGAGCTGCACACATAGTGGGTCCTCTTTTTTGTGGTGGAGCTGCACCCTGATTTTTATGTATTTATTTTTTGTTACAAAACAAATTCTAAGCTGTCTCGTTTCAGAGTGGTGCAGTGTGGAAATATCAAGATATGTGCACACACGTGTCCTTGCTTCTGTGTGTGTGTGTGTGCGTGTGCCACACCCTGTTCCCTCCCCACAAAGTTACACTTCCTCTCTTCCTGTTCCCTGCGTGTTTGCTATTTCACCTCGGTGAGCATGGGTGTGACATGAAGAGGAGGACAAAGGAGCTATCTCAGAGATGTTGAAGGTCTTTGTGCGCGCACATCTGCGACCCACGTGACGCTGCCTTTCAGACACACAAACACTAACTCAGTGAGTTTGGACCTGAATCTCTGTGGGTACCGTCTGAACTAAAGCGATGGCGAAGTAGAGTTATGAGATCAGGGAAAACTTCCGGGTGAGTGGTCAATAAAAGTAATAAAAACATTTATGTAAAGATAAGCAACGCAAATAATGAAAGCTCCAGTGTGAAAAAAATTCCAAGAAAAAACGCTATAGAACTATAATAACAATGTTAATACAGTAGTGCAGTTTAAAAGAAACACTTAGTAGAACAGAACATGATGGCTCTTGAATAAAAGGGCACTTCAGGTCATCGGATATTACTCCAGGTCCTATCTGAAAAAAAAGGAAGTTGGGAATAACATTCTTATTACATTCCTTTAGTTTCTGAATCTCGTGTTTTATCAGACTTTTTCATTTATGAGCCCGTTGCTGACCCAGTTATCCCAATAACCTGGGGCTGATTTGTCAAAGGCAACACCCAGTGTGACTCTCACAGAAGCAGTCCTGTCGTGTCTTCAGTGTTGGGGAAACCGTTCTCTGTTTGCGTTTCTTGTTTAACATATTGGACCTATAAACTTTGGTGCATCCAGCAAGAGAGCTCAAACACAGGCACACTGTAATATACTTTGAAAATACTTGAAATGACATTGTGTGAAGCATAAACATATGTCTCACTCCAGACAGAACTGTTGAAGGACACATTCATAAAACAACCCTAAGTTATCAAAATTACATAAACAACTGCTGTTTTCACCCAATGGAAGCCGAAAGAGGGTGAACCAAGCTTTTGAATGGCTGAATATGTTTTATAATATATAACTGAGTGACAGATGTGAAATCTGCTGGTTCCCCGTTGCAGTTGCTCAAGGAAAAACCTCTCATAAATAAACTCTTGCCTTTCGTATCTAGGAGAAGGACTCTCCTGAGTCATTCTTTAATGATACTGTTGTGTGACTTTGTGTGCTGTGATTTAAATGCGGTAATAACATGTTTATGTCATTGGTTGTCATGAGCTGCTCACTTTGTGTGATGTTAGTCAGTGCACTTCAGCAGCTTTCTGCGTTTTGATCTTAAAACTAAACTATTTTAAATAGATTTATTGTGCTGACTACATGAAGGCATCTTTTAAGATCACCGAAAATGGCTAAAATGGCTGTCCTGAATACAGTCCTTCTATCGTAAATGTGCTTTGCTTTTCAAAGTGGAACTTTCCTTGTTACATGTCTTTGGAGCCCTCTACGTGGAGCAGTGGGTGGTCCACTGCGAAGGGCCACTCCTTTGCATGGGTCCCCTCCCTTGCATTCCCCTCCCACTGCAAATCAGGAGCCCTACCCATCTGTCTGTCCAGCCACTCTGCTCAGCCCAGAGGAGCAGCCACACAGAAAAAAGGACCTTTAAAACAACTCAGAGCAAAGGAAGGAGGGCAAGAGGAGGGGGAGAAAACGCCCTGAAAAAATCGGGTTCACCGAGAAATAGGAAAAAGAGTGACATTTTCCTAACAGACTGAGAAGTTGTGACTGAGTGAAAGCGCTCTTCTTGGGCTGAGGAGAAGGAGAGAAGGCACGTTTTCAAGGATGCTCAAGCTGTTGTGAGGCTTCTTGGGCGCAAAGATTGCGCACAGGTAAGAAGCATACTTTTGTTCTTCTTACATAGCAGTGACTGTTTTTTGAACCGTTGAACTTTTACAGATGTTCTTACACGGTGCAATTTCCATTTGAGACCTTTATTATTTCAAAGTGTCAGAGAGATCTGTCCAACGCTCCTTAACTATAATAAGGGAAGCTTGTGGTGAGTGTGTGTATCAGTTGTGAGACCACAGTAGCGTCATCCTACTTTGTTTCATGAGCTCATCTGCTGTGATGTCCTGTGTGCTTTGGATCAGGAAAGTTCTTATGAGGACTTTTTCTGCATATTTCTGTTTCTGTGTAGTTGCAAATTGGTATTAAACATACAAGGGAAACATTCCATGTTTGAAGACTTATTACAAATAGTGTGGAGCATGAGGAGTGGGTGTGTACCCACAGCTTTTTCACTGAAGTTGCGCACTTCAGTTCTCCATTAACAGTAATTATCAAACACGCATTTTAGCACTGAATGCACGTTTCTGGAATGGATATACGAGGTAACACACACAATTAACACATTTGTTTACTCAGTGTTCTTTTGAGCAAATTAGCATTAATCTACTGTTTTTTTTTTTAGGAAGGTTAACTTATTGATGAAAGATGAAGATACTGTGTAATGATAAATGAGTCATATCATGTTTGGTATTGTAGTTGATGTGTTTTTCTTGTCCATCCATTGCGTTTTTATAACATAAGGAAGTTTAAAAAGTGAATGTGCTTCCCTTGGAGAGCCTGCAGCAACAAGTTTGGGTGTGGATCTCTTCTTCACCTCCCTCCGCCTACTTCTTTTTTCCTCCCCTCCCTTCTTGCTTTGCTGTCTCCTCACAGAGGCACACCCTTTATAGCCACAAAAAAAAAGGGAAAAAGAAAAGAAACCTATATGTGCACGTTTGTTACCAGCGGTAGTGCCGACTTCTTCCAGAGTTACTGTTTCGTAAGCGTGTGCAGGCAAAATTTAAGGCATGAATCTGAAACTTTCTCTACTTCGTCAGTGTGTTGTATAAGTGTATTTTCCCCCTTAATGTAACAGGCTTTGTACAATGTGCTAAATGAGTCACGGGTCCTTGGCTCTAAGGCATACACATCTTTTACGGCTTACTTTTTTCAGTCATGGACAGAGAACAAATTGTCTCTCTCTCTCTTTTACCTTGGGTTTCTTGACATGGGCTCGCTGCCAGAGAGTACAGGGGGAGAAGATGTGAGGAAGACAGGGAATGAGAGTCAGGGAGTGAGTGAGAGAGGGGGGATGGGCAGGACTGGGGTGAGGAGGGGAGTTATGGAATGTAGTGGTTTGGAAAGACAAGCTAATTGAAACCAGGTTTGAGGCATAGAGAGGGAGCAAAGACTTTGCACTTTTGAAGGAAGAGAAAAACGTAGCTAACACACCCTAAAGTCCAGGGAGTTTTCTGACTCTCCGCAGATAAAGGACATCCTTTCAGGTTTGCTCTTAATAGAGTCTGAGAATAACACAAAACATGAGTTTAGGTTCAGAAAAAAAAACATTAAAAAAGATCAGACATAATCCCTTTGTTGGATATCAGTTGGAAGTCGAATTTCACTGTAGTTGCGTGTCCCCCACCGCTCCCTCCTGCCACACCCTGAATCTGAGGTACTTTCTTTTTTTCTATGCTCTGTTTCCAAAACTAAACCCAAATGTGCCCTGCAGCTGAAAACGGCTGGACGTTTTTCAAAAATTGGTCTTGTCAAGGTGATTGATTATGACTGCTTGAGGGGTTTGAATTATCACTCAAAATTAAGACAGATTCGAGGAGTTGGTTGCAGCTACAGTGTCATTTTAATTTTACAACTTTATGCTGAGTTTATAAAGCTGACATGCAGTTTTATGAAGGTCTTGTCTTAGAGAGTCACATTTAATTTTAGGCATAGCTCATACTCAAACCGTTAAATGTCTGTCAGTGACTGCCAGTAGGTAAAATGCTCTGTTTACAGGGAAAAGAAACCTATCTTCGCCTGGGGCGCATACTGTTACTTGCACTTTCGAATAGTGCAGCAAAACAGAGTCCGTATTAGGATGTCATGTTAACTGAAGAAAGCTTAACTGACTTACAAAAAAAAACAACTGCCAAGAAAAATAAATAAATATTTAAACTGGTGATAATTTGAAGTGTCATAACAGCCGACAGTTGCAATTCACGATGCCCCTCAAGCCGATTTTACCACCTGAGTGACAAACAGCATCTTTACGGGCTGAGGAGAGGGCTGTGCTACTTGACTGGTGGAGTTTTGACTTGCTTTACGATATATATCGCAACACTGTATAATACCCTTTTACATATTGCTGCAGTGTTGATTGACAGCAGGGACCAGAGGAGTGGTGAGACTCTTATGTGCTAGTGTTAAACTTAAGGAAACTGGCCTCCGGCACACTTCCTCTGCTGTTTCCTTATGGGTTGGTGGGTGGTTGGAAGAAGAATGGATGGCGTGAGTTGATAAAAAAGAGGAGAGTGGATGTATTGAATTATATAAATGAGACAAAAAGGAATTGCAATAAAAATATATATTTTATTTTTTCAGGCATTTATTTAGACTCAAAGTAGGAATCTAACAAAAAAAAAACAACAGACTAACTGAAATCCCATTCAAGAAACCGCTAAAACTTTGGGTCCCCTTCTGCTGCAAATATAGTTAGCTGTAGTGTCAGAGTTTAGAAAGTCTTTCTAGGGAACAAAACCAACAGCCACTCCCTTCTTACACATCGAGTGCTACTTTGGAATTCTTCACTTGTCCTCCATAGTTTGTGTGGGGCCTCTATAATTACTGAAATAGTCATTTGTATAGCCTTGATGAGACAGCCTGTGCGTGTAATTCACACCTGTTTATTCTTATGTTCCAAGTTTTTGCAAGCTTTTTTTTTTCTGATAAGCCAATCATTTTCATCACTGCTCTTCCAAACATCTGCAATACAGAGGCATTCAAAAGCAATAAATATTTCCTCTGCACTCTGCAATCTACCTGCCTCTCAGTGTTTGACTCATCATGTCGCCCCATGTCAGGAATGGGAGGTGGCATCTGTTGAGGAAACTATTTGGAATTGGGGCCCAAAAATATCAGGCAACAGTGCCTGGAATGCAAAGTTGGAAATACATTTGACTTGGTTTAGGTTTTTGTTATCTGGCCCCAGAAACTCAAGGATGGCCCTCCTCACCATCTACCAAGCTCGCTTGTTGTAAACAAATCTTAAGAATGTTCAAAGTTTTCAAAGCAAAGGAGTTTTCTTGGCAGTGCAAACATTCTGCCTCTATCGGTGCAATCTAGTCTTCTGCTGTATGTGTCCTCCCCCCCCGTTCAAACCACATCTGAGAAAAGCTGAAAGAAAGCCTGAATTATTGCTTAAACTAACTGACATGCTTTGACCTACATGCGTTTGCCAAGCGTGCTAGTAAGCTGCATGTCAATCCAAAATTCATATGTGATTCTCTTCTTCCCCTTGGGGTGTAAGTTCGTTTAAAATTTGCATGCTGAAAACTCTGTTCAATAAACAGGTTAAAGTGTCTCTCTTTTTTTGTCACTCACTGTTCTTGGATCTGAAAGTGTCTGCTGGCATCAGTTCAGGATCACTTCTCATTTCTAGAATATTAGTCAAAATGTTATATTTCCTTTTTGCAAAAATGCCATGGTTCTGATAACTGATATCTTAGAAACTTTTTTGTGAGGCTGCCTAAAGGAACCAGAATTTTTAGTTGCAGTTCCTAAATGGGATGTTATGTTTTTAATGTCTTTGCACATGCAGAAAAAGCTCGATAACCTCTCTAAGAGGAAATCCAAGCAAGTTATCCATGTCTTTGGCTATGATAGTGTTGATTGATCAAGCCTCCTCATACAAAGGTAAACATTTCTATTGTTGTCTTCTTTTTCTAAAGCATCCTGTATGGCTTTACTTCTGATTTAAACAACACACACACATGTATATATAGTTATGTATATTTAAAGGAAGAAGGCAGACTTAAAAATATGCTTTCAATGCAGCCCTTGGTCTTGTTTGTGTTCTTGTAAAAGCAGAAGGAGATTTCTTTTCCTCAGTTTTTCCATTTGTTGCCTGACTTTTGCCAAAGTCACAATGGTTTAATCAGCAGCCGGCCAAGTTGGCGTCAGTGGGCAGGCTTTGGTCTTAAGGAGGACTTGTGGTTTGGTTTAGGACTATGTGGACATGGGGAGAAGAAAAGAACCATTCCATTTTGATGCTCATTCCTTTTATATGCGTCATGCATGCATGCCCTATCTGCTACTTCGAAGGAGGACAGAAGGCTGGGGCCTGCTGTGTCTCTCTCTGTGTTTGTTGTACTTGATGTGTCAAACTGCAGTGTGGTGTGAGGAACAGAGGAATCTATTCTGTTTTGACAACAAGACTGATCTGGTCACTGCTCTTCTCTCTTCTTCTTTGCCCCGCTATACTGAGGTCTTTCTCTTTGCTCATAATCAAATCTTATCAACTGCCAGCACTGCAGTGCATGATACACTTCGGGGGGAGACTTAATCATTGTCACACTGTTCCTCTTCTTTGAATGCCAAATGACTAAATTGATTGGATTTGGCAATCAGCTTAGAGGAGTAATTTCAAGCAGTTTGATAAGTTTCTTGTCTACTGTGACTTGCTGAAATGAAATGCCTTAAAGCTAAACAGTCCAGGTATGTTCCCCCAGGCACTGTGTGTCGTCATACACAAATGCATAGTTAGTGCCAAATAAAATAACGATTGTCACTGATCAAAGCAGCATGAGGGCTGACATTTATTGAACACATCTGCTTTTGCTTTTCACTGTTTATTTGAGAAAACCTGTTTCAGGGAGCCATTATCCGACTTACTGTTGTGTTCTTGTTTGTTTGAGCAGAACTGGAAGGTTTTGGGGTGTGGTGAGCTGACTGCAGAGGGGGTAGGCACTCAGGCAGGGCGCAGGGTGGGTGGAATAGGACGTAGCTGGAGTCAGTGTGAGAGAAAAAGAGGACATTTCATTGGAGTTAGTCACCGTGGGGAGAGGCTGGGCTCACTTCCAGCTGGCCTGACAGCTCTATCAAAGAATGTGTGTGACTGGAGGCCTGGGTGGGGTTGTGCATTGGGCTGTTCCCTGTGCAAGTAAGGCGCAGGGGCAAAATGACCTGATATGGGTTGTGGAGGGTGGTGGGGTAACTCTATGTGCATTGAATGTGTTTTTATTTCCTCCCCCCACCTGGGTAACCACATTTCAACATCCTGCGATACATGTTTGTGTAAATGTGCGGGGCCTCAGCTTTGCAGGGATGAGGGCGGGACCACGTTCTTCTCAACTAATCCAATACAACCAATGTCAAGAAACATTTTATCTATCTTTTACCTATTTATCTTTCATTCAGTATCAGTGATCTCGGCATACTCTTTGTGATGCTATGTTTAAAGAGCCAGTCATACCTTTAAAGATGTCTATCAGCTGGCATCTGAATTACTCCTCACACGGTGATCTGTTGAACATCTCTCTGTAACCAGAGTATGAACAGGAGAGTGTACACAGCTGCCATGGTGCAAGTCACCCCACACATACATAATGACAATTATCTACTGGCTGGCTTTCATCTCAGCTATTTCTGTATGGAACTAATTTAAAATAAACAAACATATATGTATGTACTAAGCTTTACTTCAGTTTACTTTTTTTTTTTCTTGGGCCACACTATTATATTTAATGGGTGAGAAACCTTGAATGTGTATATAGTTTCTCCCAAATAAACACTATAATTTAGCATGATTTCCATCAAAGAAATGAACACTTCAGCTTATTAGCTATAGGGTATTGTTCAGTGGGAGGATAATGACAGAGGAGAAGGCTGTCTTAGAAGAATTTTCCCGAGGGACATGTTCGTGCCGGTAAATGCCTGTCTGCACAAGCATCAAGTCTAGTTCTGTTTATACAACGACCAAGAAAAAGAGGGCTTTGTTCCACAAGATGCCACTGGACTGACAATAATTCATGTAAAATGTCAAATCTGGATGAGTTACAGTGGGTTGGAGATTGACTGGACATGCGTACTGATAGAATCCAAATGATGAATACTATTGCAACAATAACATGTTATCACCACAGTGACTTTGCTGACTGTCTGTCTATGTATTTGTGCATTTACTTCAGGATTTCTTTGAAACTTGTAGACATGTAGGCATGTTCATCTCATCTTATTCTTTTCGGGGTTTGAGCCACACCACAGAAGTACCAAGCTTTGTTTACTTAGTGGGAGTTTTGCATCTTTACTTAATGGGGTCAGAACTGCTACCACTAGATGGTTAAATATTAATGTCTCTTAAATATCTGACTGGCAAAGAGTTCCCTGTGCCCACCGTGTTTATGTGCGAAAAACTTATGAGACATTTCTGGGTGTGTGTGTATTTCATTTGGAAACATTTATCTTCATGCAGGAATGACTAATATGTGGGAAAAACATTTTGTCAAATTTTAGGTATGGAAGTAAAATGTGGAACTTTATTCATAAAATACCATTACATTGAACATTGTCTTCTTTTGAGCCTCAACAATATTTGCATGTTTTTTAAATCTTGTTAATCTAATTCCACTTCTCTCCACGTTTTCTCTTTACAGAAGTCAAGAAAACAAGAAAGAAAGAAGCTAACAGAAGCCTTGGTTTTGCTTGAGCAATCCAAGGTAAGTGTCCTTAAAATTGTCATGAAACCAAAAATCTAAAGAGCACTATGACTGGCTAAATATAAAAGCTAATGTAATACACATCGACTTAGACCAAGACCACGTGGTCACTGGCACCTCAGGGCAGCTATCTATTATGAGGCTGGACTCCAATCTACTGTTGGAATGTTTGTTGCAAGGCCTCCTGAATTGGTTGACAATCTGGACTCCACTGTCCAGGCGTGAAAGGGCTTCCTTGTGGAAACCTGACACTTGGCTTTTTCGACTCTCTGCATGTCTGTTTTTTACAGAAATGTTTCCGCTGCAGCCAACCACCTGTTCCACACTAGTTCGTAGCTCGTGAAATCTTGCAAAGCACATGCAGTTTTGAAGCGTTCGTTGGGTGTTGTGGGTTATTTATCTCTTTTTGGTCAAAGGAAAAGCTACGACAAATGACCAAATAAAGTGTGTGCTGCTACTGGATGTCAATGACAAGGCTTGAAGACCCAGAGTTATTCTGTGGTTGCATTCTAGTAACAGAAGCTTTTGTCTTGTTTGCTGTCCACACGCCCCCTTTCCCCTTAACACACATACCAGACCATAAAAAAACTTGACAGACAGACAAGCTTGTGTCCCTTTACTCTTTGCTCCCAGCTTCCATGCCTTCCTTCAATGAGTAAAAATACAATTTTTATAATAATTTTATGAAAATGAAAACATCCATAATCAATTCTATATGTTAGGAGAACTGTGACACTCTAGTATGTGGGAGAAATAAAACAGATTAGACGACTAGCTGATTGCAATGTTATCTAATCAAAGGCGGCCTACATGTCTTATGATTCCAAGAACAAGGGCACATTTATTTATCATTTGTTTACAACACAGTTCACATCTAATCATATGATCATTTTATTGAGTTAATTGTTCATTTCTGTAATTCCAAATATAGTTGGTCAAAGGCTTCTCCTTTTGCCTGTTTTTTTCTATTTAACTTTACATACGGAAAGCAGAGAGGACATATTAAGTCTAAAATGAACCTTTAAGAAAAACTAAAATTCCTTTTTGTCTGCTCAGTCCAAGTGTCCCTGCATGAGTTCAGAAGAAGGCTGTTAAGGAACTAGAAGAGGCAATATCAAGTGATCTCTGCAGACGTAAATTTGGCAAAGCTGGATCTGTGGCACTGCAAACTCCTTTGTTAATTTCCTTTATTCACTCACATTTCTGTAATTAACGCATAGAATGTTGCAGCTTGACTTGTTTACAGATTCATGCTTTTCATTCTGCTTTTGAGTCATACTGACAGATACCACAAAGTTGAAAGAAAAATTGGAAGAATGGAAGAGAAGGAATGTCAGGTTGTCGTTGCCTGCAAGTCATCTCTGGCATAAACACCCTATTGCTCTCTGGCGTAATCGCTGTCAGTGACCCTGGCATAAGTTGCTCAGTCCATGGAGTCTGCAAAAGGCTATTTTAGAGAGCTGTTTATGAGTTTAATATTACCTTAAAGCATAGCAGACATTCCCAAGCATTCCCAAGCACATCAAACCAGTCTATTTATTGACTTGAGATAATTAGTGTCTGTTATTTGTCCTTGGACAGGCTCCAACAAACTTGTTTTACTAGGTTATGACCCATGCTTTAAGGGATTGTTTATGTATGCTTCCTCTAAGAAACAATGCTTGTATATCTGCCTAAACTACAATTCATTGTAATTTATAGAATTGTGTCTAAAGTGAGGGCGAGTCTTAACAGTATAAATGTAATGCCGATATCAGCCTTGCACACAAATCAATACAAAACCCCCCTACAACTTAAATTTACAGAGTACCTCAGATTCTAAAAAAACACATCAGAGTTTAGGTCATTATATTCAAAACAGGCGCATGAAATTTTTACAATGAAAAGGCAGGAAGCTACAGTGACTGAGTCACTGATGTTTTTTGTGTTGCACCTGGCTAGACCTAAGCAGGAATAATAAGTGAAATTGACAAATATGTCTTTTCCAACTTTGAACAATAATTAGATAAATAGTATCAATCACAAGTTACTCCTAATCTATGTGGAGATATAAAAGATATGTAAACTTGATCAGAAAATATTGAGTTGGAAATGTTTGTGACATAAGAAAGAAAGGTTATGCAAACAGTTATTTGATAAGTACAGTAGAAGCATGTAGTTTAGGTAGCTTTGCATTATTCATGGAGTCGATTGTACAGAGTTTGGTAAACAACAAAGTGTCTGTTCTCAAGAGTGCGTAGGACTAAAGTGAGTGTATTTGGGAATTATGTATGCACATTTATTGTTAGTAAACTAGGTGTAGAAATTGTTAGCAACCCAGAGGATGATTTCAATTTTGAACCAGGGGATTTTGTCTAAGTCCACATCTTTCTCTCCAATAACACAAATACATTACTTTTATATTTTAATAACAAGAAAGATGACTAACTCTTGCCTCAGGAATACTAAATTCTAACCAGTGTTATTAAAAAAAAAACCTTAGCATACAAGTGCATCCTCTAAAAAGTATAAGGTTTGGCACATTTTTCCATTACATGTCATGAATAAAATTGCCATAAAGATATGAATTTGCCAGAATGATGATTGAAAATATTTTACATCGATGCAAGTAGTGTATATTGGCATATGCACACTTGTACTGTTTAAACTTAGCATTTCTCTAGATCTGTAAATGTTTTTGTAAAGCTGGGTAGATTGAACTATCTTAGTTCTTTCTATTGACTTTTGAGCTGGGGTGGAGGTGCTGGACTTGGCCGCTTTCCTCAGTGAAGGGTATGGTTTGACGTCAACAAAATTTCCAAAACAGACCAGTGGGAGGGAGCTGATGCTGGTTTGGGGAGTTGGTGAATGTGTTGTCTGGAAGAGTTTCAACACCATCTAGTGTTCACCGTTGGTCTCTTTAAGCCAGCCTATCGAAAGAGCGGTGTTCATAACAAAACACCATCAGTTTTAAGACTGAAGAAGTATCTTGATGATGACAAAGCATCTTATATATTCTTGTATTTTCTTCCTGCAGGAAAACAAAAAGCGTGTCCATCACTCCACAGCAAGATTTGAGAACAGCTAAAACAAGGTATTATACTTAGTTACAGTTAAAATAAACCTCATTTTTCATATTTCATTCAGTATTAAAATCTTGGAGCTATCTTGTGATTTTTCATTGTTATATTTACAGATGGCTGACGAAGAGGAAACCAGAGAGGTACTCTTTCCAGACTGGGAGGGTCCAGACAAAACTGGTTTGACCATTGAACACACAACTGGAGGAGAAATCTTTGTCAAGGAGGTCAAAGGAGAGTCACCTGCTGCCCGTTCTGGAAAAGTATACGAAGGTAGACAATTTATTAGATTTTTCTCACTTTAAAAAAAACAAAACAAATTTATTTCCCATGCAACTGCTCTTCAGTATTAATAACAGTCTGTCTACATTTTATCCAAAGGTGACCAGATTGTGGGTGCCACTATCTACTTTGACAATATGAGCTCAGAAGAGACATCAGATCTACTTAAGACTTTGAACAAACACAAGGTTGGATTGAAACTGCAAAACAAAGGGGACAAATCCCCTTGCTACTCACCCTTGAGCACACCATGTCGTTCACCGATGGGGACCCTCACGTGGGAAGGGAAAGCCCACTTTGGTGGCTCCAGTCCAGATATTATTCTAGTAAGTTAAATTTATTAAAATTGTCACTATCATAACTGTTTATGAACTAGTAGGCTAACAATGCCATGTTGTGTGTTTAAATATTTTTCAATCAAATCAGAGTGGAGACGATGAGGACTATAGAAGAATATACACAAAGAAAATTAAACCAAGACTGAAGTCTGAAGACCTTGCAGAGGGTGTGGATGTTCGCACAGAACGACATAGCAGCACAAGCAGTGATGGAAGCACAATTACCACCATCACGCGTCGCATCACTACCTACACAGTAGACATGCCGAGTGGCATAAGTGAGAAACCTGAAATTTCAAGTCCAGAGCTAAAGAGGCTGCGGCACGAGTCTGGAGAAGGCTCTCCTAGTATCAGGATTGTACATGGGAGCCCATCAGGTAAAGTGGAACTAGAGGAGGGAGTTTTTGAGTCAAGTATTGTGAGTAACACTGGACCACAATTCAGTTCAACAGAGACACACTGGGGTAGTGGGGGAGTTCAGACAAGAATTGTTACAAGAGAGGCAAAGGACAGAAATATAGATCTCAGTTTTAAAGGGCCCAGCTTTCGAGTTGCAGGGCAAGAAGGAACTGAGATCTCAAGAGGGAGTGCAAAGCATGGAGGTGAAAGCATTGAGGTTTCTGAGACAAATGTAACACTAAGAGACAGCACAGACACTGGTAATAGCCATGTAAGAATCGGAGGCCTAGAAGGTGCAGGGATGATATCCTTTCCAGGAAAAGGCATGCATATTTCAACAACAACCATAGATAAAACAGGGGGCACAGACACCAAATTAGCCGAGAGGACAGATGCAAAGGCATCTGAAATTACCATTGGTCACCAACAGAAAAAGGGATCAGGCGGTATTCATTTTGGACTTGGTGGATCTTCCAAAGATGTTGATGCTGACTCAAAATTGCCAATCACCTTTGGTAGTGCTACTTCAGGATTTTCCACATTGCCTGGCATGACTTCAGCGACGGATATGGATGTAAACTTAACCAGTTCAACGTTAACAATTGGGGATCACGTCAGCCTGCCAAGTACAAAACCTGAAACTGAAAACATTAAAAGACCCAATTTTGATATTGAGGGAACTGAAACAAAACTAAAAGACCCCAGGTTCAATATGTCATCCATATTGGGACCAAAACTGTCCATGCCAGATGTTGATATCAATTTGAAAGGGCCCAAACTTAAAGGTCATGCGGATATGTCAGCTCCAAAAATAGAAGGTGATGTAAAAACACCCGACATTGACATTAAAGGTCCAAAAGTTGGCAGTAAAGGGCGAAAAGATGGGTATGAGACGCCGCAAATGAAAATGCCATCATTCAACATCAAGGGCCCAAAAGTGGAAGCTCCAGACTTAGATGTCAATTTAAAAGGCCAAGTATTTGAGGGGAAAGTAACTGTTCCAGTTCTTGAAGGAAGTGTTGAATCTCCTGATGTAAGAATTAAAGGACCAGACATTAACATCGAAGGCCATAAAGGAGGGATTAAAATGCCCAAATTAAAATTTGAAGGTGATGCTGATCTGTCTGCTCCAAAGATAAAACAACCTGACATTGAAATCAAAGGTCCAAAAGTTGACATTGAAGGGCCAAAGGGTGGATTTGAGATGCCGAAAATCAAGATGCCATCACTCAATATCAAAGGCTCAAAAGATGAGGGAGAGGTGGATGTGAAAGTTCTAAAGCTTGATGGGAAAGCCGACCTTCCTAAAGTAGACATAGAAGGGCGTGATATTGACAGTGAGAGCCAAAAAGGAGGGTTTAAAATGCCAAAAATGAAAATGCCATCATTTAACATGAAGGGCCCAAAACTTGAAAGTCCTGAAGTTGATGTCAACCTCCCCAAAGTAAACATTGATGCGGAAGGGCATGGCGTTGAAATTAAAGGGAAAGACATTGATATTGAAGGGCCGAATGCCAAACACAAAGGATTCAAGTACAACATGCCATCCATTTCAGGACCAAATTTGCCAATGCCTGATGGTGACTTCAAATTTAAACATCCAAAGCTCAAAGGTGATGTGGATCTTTCAATTACGAAAACAGAGGGAGACATAAAAACACCCGAAATGGATATCAAAGGTCCAAATGTTAACAATGCCGGACCAAAGGGTGGATTTGAGATGCCCAAAATGAAAATGCCATCACTCAACATCAAGAGTCCAAAAGTGGATGCTTCAGAAATGGAAATTAATCTAAAAGGCCCCAAAATAAAGGGTGATGCGGATGTAAAAGTACCAAAGATTGAAGGGAATGTGGAACTTCCTGAAGTGGACATTGAAGGACCAGACTTTGATATTGAGGGCCATAAAGGAGGGTTTAAAATGCCAAAATTCAAAATGCCTTCCTTTGGCATGAAGGGCCCGAAACTCGAAGGTCCAGAAGTGGATGTAGACCTTCCCAAAGCAAATATTGATGTCGGAACACCTGATGTTGAAATGAAAGGACCTGATGTTGACATTGAAGGACCCAATGCAAATCTCAAAGGACCCAAGTTCAACATGCCATCCATTTCAGGGCCAAAACTCTCAATGCCAGATGTTGACTTCAACTTGAAAGGTTCGAAAGTCAAAGGTGATGTGGACCTTTCAGCTACAAAGGTAGATGGAGACCTTAAAACACCTGACATTGACTTTAAAGGTCCAAAAGTTGACATTGAAGGGCCAAAGGGTGGATTTGAGATGCCCAAAATAAAAATGCCATCACTCAACATCAAAGGTCCAAAAGTGGAAGCTCCAGATTTGGACTTCAACCTGAAAGGCCCCAAAATGAAGGGTGATGTGGATGTTAAAGTACCAAAGATTGAAGGGAAAGTAGAACTTCCTGAAGTGGATATTGAAGGACCAGATATTGATATTGAGAGCCATAAAGGAGGGTATAAAATGCCAAAATTCAAAATGCCTTCCTTTGGTATGAAAGGCCCGAAACTCGAAGGTCCAGACGTTAATGTAGAACTCCCTAAAGCAAACATGGATGTGGGAACATCTGACGTTGACATTAAAGGACTTGATGTTGATATTGAGGGACCCAATGCAAAACTCAAAGGACCCAAGTTCAACATGCCATCCATTTCAGGACCAAAACTGTCCATGCCTGATGTGGATTTCAACTTGAAAGGTCCCAAATTCAAAGGTGACGTGGATATGTCGGCTCCAAAAATAGAAGGTGATGTAAAAAC